AAGAAAAGTAATTTTGCATAAACAGGATGAAGGAATCAGGGATCTTGTTGGAAAGTCAATGGAGGGAAGGAATCAGGGATGTTGTTAGGAAGTCAATGGAGGGAAGGAATCAGGGATGTTGTTGGGAAGTCAATGGAGGGAAGGAATCAGGGATGTTGATAGGAAGTCAATGGAGGGAAGGAATCAGGGATGTTGTTGGGAAGTCAATGGAGGGAAGGAATCAGGGATGTTGTTGGGAAGTCAATGGAGGGAAGAAATCAGGGATATTGTTGGAAGTCAATGGAGGGAAGGAATCAGGGACGTTGTTGGGAAATCTGTGAAGAGAAGGAATCAGGGATGTTGTTGGGAAATCTGTGAATGGAAGGAATCAGGGATGTTGTTGGGAAATCTGTGAAGGGAAGGAATCAGGGATGTTGTTAGGAAGTCAATGGAGGGAAGGAATCAGGGATGATGTTGGGAAGTCAATGGAGGGAAGGAATCAGGGATGTTGTTGGAAGTCAATGGAGGGAAGGAATCAGGGATATTGTTGGAAGTCAATGGAGGGAAGGAATCAGGGATGTTGTTGGGAAGTCAATGGAGGGAAGGAATCAGGGATGTTGTTGGCAAGTCAATGGAAGGAAGGAATCAGGGATGTTGTTGGCAAGTCAAAGAGGGAAAGAATCAGGGATGTTGTTGGCAAGTCAATGGGATGTTGTTGGCAAGTCAATGGAGGGAAGGAATCAGGGATGTTGTTGGCAAGTCAATGGAGGGAAGGAATCAGAGATGTTGTTTGGAAGTCAATGGAGGGAAGGAATCAGGGATGTTGTTGGCAAGTCAATGGAGGGAAGGAATCAGGAATGTTGTTAGGAAATCTGTGAAGAGAAAGAATCAGGGACATTGTTGGGAAATCTGTGAAGAGAAGGAATCAGGGATGTTGTTGTGAAGTTAATGGAGGGAAGGAATCAGGGATGTTGTTGGGAAATCTGTGAATGGAAGGAATCAGGGATGTTGTTGGGAAATCTGTGAAGGGAAGGAATCAGGGATGATGTTGGGAAGTCAATGGAGGGAAGGAATCAGGGATGTTGTTAGGAAATCTGTGAATGGAAGGAATCAGGGATGTTGTTGGGAAATCTGTGAAGGGAAGGAATCAGGGATGTTGTTAGGAAGTCAATGGAGGGAAGGAATCAGGGATGTTGTTGGGAAATCTGTGAAGAGAAGGAATCAGGGACGTTGTTGGGAAATCTGTGAAGAGAAGGAATCAGGGATGTTGTTGGGAAATCTGTGAATGGAAGGAATCAGGGATGTTGTTGGGAAATCTGTGAAGGGAAGGAATCAGGGATGTTGTTAGGAAGTCAATGGAGGGAAGGAATCAGGGATGATGTTGGGAAGTCAATGGAGGGAAGGAATCAGGGATGTTGTTTGGAAGTCAATAGAGGGAAGGAATCAGGGATATTGTTGGAAGTTAATGGAGGGAAGGAATCAGGGATGTTGTTTGGAAGTCAATGGAGGGAAGGAATCAGGGATGTTGTTGGCAAGTCAATGGAAGGAAGAAATCAGGGACATTGTTGGGAAATCTGTGAAGAGAAGGAATCAGGGATGTTGTTTGAAAGTCAATGGAGGGAAGGAATCAGAGATGTTGTTTGGAAGTCAATGGAGGGAAGGAATCAGGGATGTTGTTGGCAAGTCAATGGAGGGAAGGAATCAGGGATGTTGTTGGCAAGTCAATGGAGGGAAGGAATCAGGGATGTTGTTGGCAAGTCAATGGAGGGAAGGAATCAGGGATGTTGTTGGCAAGTCAATGGAGGGAAGGAATGAGGAATGTTGTTAGGAAATCTGTGAAGAGAAAGAATCAGGGACATTGTTGGGAAATCTGTGAAGAGAAGGAATCAGGGATGTTGTTGTGAAGTTAATGGAGGGAAGGAATCAGGGATGTTGTTGGGAAATCTGTGAATGGAAGGAATCAGGGATGTTGTTGGGAAATCTGTGAAGGGAAGGAATCAGGGATGTTGTTGGGAAGTCAATGGAGGGAAGGAATCAGGGATGTTGTTTGAAAGTCAATGGAGGGAAGGAATCAGGGATGTTGTTGGGAAATCTGTGAAGGGAAGGAATCAGGGATGTTGTTAGGAAGTCAATGGAGGGAAGGAATCAGGGATGTTGTTGGGAAATCTGTGAAGGGAAGGAATCAGGGATGTTGTTAGGAAGTCAATGGAGGGAAGGAATCAGGGATGTTGTTGGAAGTCAATGGAGGGAAGGAATCAGGGATGTTGTTGGAAGTCAATGGAAGGAAGGAATCAGGGATATTGTTGGAAGTCAATGGAGGGAAGGAATCAGGGATGTTGTTTGGAAGTCAATGGAGGGAAGGAATCAGGGATGTTGTTGGTAAGTCAATGGAGGGAAGGAATCAGGGATGTTGTTGGGAAGTCAATGGAGGGAAGGAATCAGGGACGTTGTTGGGAAATCTGTGAAGAGAAGGAATCAGGGATGTTGTTGGTAAGTCAATGGAGGGAAGGAATCAGGGATGTTGTTGGTAAGTCAATGGAGGGAAGGAATCAGGGATGTTGTTGGGAAGTCAATGGAGGGAAGGAATCAGGGATGTTGTTGGGAAGTCAATGGAGGGAAGGAATCAGGGATGTTGTTGGGAAATCTGTGAAGAGAAGTCAATGGAGGGAAGGAATCAGGGATGTTGTTGGGAAGTCAATGGAGGGAAGGAATCAGGAATGTTGTTGGTAAGTCAATGGAGGGAAGGAATCAGGGATGTTGTTGGTAAGTCAATGGAGGGAAGGAATCCGGGATGTTGTTGGAAGTCAATGGAAGGAAGGAATCAGGGATGTTGTTGGGAAGTCAATGGAGGGAAGGAATCAGGGATGTTGTTGGAAGTCAATGGAGGGAAGGAATCAGGGATGTTGTTAGGAAGTCAATGGAAGGAAGGAATCAGGGATGTTGTTGGGAAGTCAATGGAGGGAAGGAATCAGGGATGTTGTTGGGAAGTCAATGGAGGGAAGGAATCAGGGATGTTGTTGGGAAGTCAATGGAGGGAAGGAATCAGGGATGTTGTTGGTAAGTCAATGGAGGGAAGGAATCAGGGATGTTGTTGGGAAGTCAATGGAGGGAAGGAATCAGGGATGTTGTTGGGAAGTCAATGGAGGGAAGGAATCAGGGATGTTGTTGGGAAGTCAATGGAGGGAAGGAATCAGGGATGTTATTGGGAAGTCAATGGAGAGAAGGAATCAGGGATGTCATTGAAAAGTCATTTGAGGTCAATGAAAGATTTTTAATAGAAAAGTTATCCAGTAGTTTTTTGAGTTTTGCCTTTTCATCACTACCTGTTCAAATCTTGAAACATAACTAGATGATATTTGAAATTTATGATTATGCTACAATACCTGTAAACATAATTGTTGGTTTGATTTTTTAAGAAATAAAATTATCAGTATTTGAACAAGCAGGCCCTGGTTTGGAAAGAAACAGGCGAATATAAATTTAGATTATTTTCCATATGTATATTTGTGAGCTTCTAAAAGTGTGCATTGTTCATCTGACCTTGACATGTAAACAGTCACATAAAATTGGTCACATTCAATTGATAAAATGACTTTGCATTCAAATTGATATAATCCTCAGATACCACTCTTAGATGTATCCAACTTTGCCATTTTTAATTAGAATCTGTGGAGGCCAAGGCAATAAATATAAGTAATATTACAATATGTTTAGAGTTGTCCTGACGATGAGGTAAAATGTTGTATGTAACTTTCTGTCATGTTATGATTGATGTAGACATCTTAGCTTTGGAATGTTACGTGTCACCTCGGTTACTAAAAGACGATTCCACTCTACATTCACTAACAGGTTCTGGGGAGATATCATTATAACTTTATCTTATATATATATTGATAATCATCTTTTCCCCGTGGTCATTGACCATCATTATCTCTTTTGTTTGACTATTCTAAAGTGTAGTAGTTCCACTCAATAAAACTAAAATTTATGAAAAATTTAACTTTTTTCATGGTGTCATTATTTTGAATTTTCAAAAAATTATATTTTCCTTAATGGCATCATTATCTTAATTGGAGACTGAACCATCAGCAAATCACTATTAGAATGAAAATTTCTAATCAGATTTAAGAGCTAAAAAGATAGTTTTAAAATCATTCTTTAACATTAAATATCAACACCCCCATCCCTCCTCCACCACTGTGTCTTATATAGATAGATAGGTATATAGGTTCCCTGTAATATGCCCACCTACTACATTGAGTCAAGAGTTTAGGGCTTATGGCAGGATAAATATGATGAATATATATATTCATTAAAATCAGGAAATATTCAAGTGAAATATAGAAATGTATCAGTATAATTCACATCTTTTAGTCAAGGAAATAATGAGAATAAGGTATGGTGTTGAAAGAATTGTTCAGATAAAAGTGAAATTTGATGTAAATGACTTCAGAGATTTGTAGATCAGGTAGTGTTTTCTGTGATCTATGTGAAAGCTTGAGAAAGACTATTCCTGTTGAAGGCTGAAATTTGGTTTTGGCTGATTGAAGTTAAAGGATTATTCTAAGATTTAATAAGTGAGTCAGTTTGGTAATTAACACTTTTAGTATCTAACACCGTGTAAGGTTACACTACGTCTTTCATATGTTAATGATGGGTATAGAATATGGCAATGATGTCCCCCTCGTAATGTTGTCTGTCAACGAAAAATTCACTGGCCAAGCGCAGATGGCTCTGGCATACAGATGGCTTTTTCCAAATGCCATTTACATAACAAAGCTCTATGGCTTGAAAATGTAATTAACTTGTATTTGTCTCCAATCTATCTGTCACTATCCTCAATATTTTACTCATTATCAAATTCTGATTTAATTGAAAGTTTTGTCATGTTTTTCTATATTTTTTGCTTGAGAGTTTTATTCATTCTGTTGACCATATTATATAGCGATACATTAAAAAATAAGTGTGTTTGTAATCCTTGTTTTTTACATTGTACTTATTTTATGACTATTATTTTTCAGAACAGATGTCTTTGGGCAGAACTGAATAGATGATTATGGATCGTGAGTATTATATAACAAACAATTTAAATGATAATGAAAATATATGAATTGAACGTGCTGAGACATTGAGGGGTGTGATAATAATGGTTTTGGAGAGTGACCTGCCTCTGTAAATAGAGATGGTGTTGCTGTCAATAGAGAGCTTTTATCCCCAGTTTTATGGTTGTTGGTTGATCGGAGACGTTCCCTGTGTACACCTGATAGGGGGTCGCAGATGATTTTAGTTTTGAACATCTTGTTTTTTCTGCTCCATGTCAGCTCTACAATATTACCTATAATCATTTTAAAGCCCCATTGTTTCCTGTTTATTTTGACACTTGATTTTTGTTAAAAGTAGAGAACGGTTTTAAAGTTTGAGGAACACCATCGAAGATGTTCAAGCCATGCATATGAGAGATAAAAGGCATAATCTAATTAATGCAAGACTATAACTTAATTTACTTTTTCTTCCATACAAATATCATCATTAGCTTGTTTAAAAGTCAGATATGAGATAGTGACAGTATGAATTGTTAAACATCATAAATTGTCAAGTACAAGCCACAAGAATCTGATCTTTGACCTCAGGGCAGTATTATCAGTATAAAGATAGGGGATGTGGATCAAAATTATATGCTATTCTTTTAGAAGCTCGTACCAGGCACCTTGGTGAGTTCAAATAAGGACAGGATCACATACAAAATAAAACAATTTCTTGTCTCTTGGGATGTGGTAGTGGGGTTTGAACATGATTGTTGATCCTGGTAGTGATAATGAAGGTGAGAAATAGATGGTTTTCCCATTGGCTACCTAGGAAAAGTTGAATGGGGAATTTTCTCTGTTGAACCATGGTGGTGAATTCAGAAGAAAATGTTAACAAAACATCAGATCAAAATAAATAAATTTAATGTTACTGGTTTACCTACAATTACACTGTAGATGTCAAGTTTAAATGTTTCTGGTTTACCTACAATTACACTGTAGATGTCAAGTTTAAATGTTTCTGGTTTACCTACAATTATACTGTAGATGTCACTGGTTTACCTACAATTATACTGTAGATGTGAAGTTTAAATGTTACTGGTTTACCTACAATTATACTGTAGATGTCACTGGTTTACCTACAATTATACTGTAGATGTGAAGTTTAAATGTTTCTGGTTTACCTACAATTACACTGTAGATGTCAAGTTTAAATGTTACTGGTTTACCTACAATTATACTGTAGATGTCACTGGTTTACCTACAATTATACTGTAGATGTGAAGTTTAAATGTTACTGGTTTACCTACAATTATACTGTAGATGTCACTGGTTTACCTACAATTATACTGTAGATGTCAAGTTTAGATGTCACTGGTTTACCTACAATTATACTGTAGATGTCAAGTTTTAATGTCACTGGTTTACCTACAATTACACTGTAGATGTCAAGTTTAGATGTCACTGATTTACCTACAATTATACTGTAGATGTCAAGTTTAGATGTCACTGGTTTACCTACAATTATATTGTAGATGTCACTGGTTTACCTACAATTACACTGTAGATGTCAAGTTTAGATGTCACTGATTTACCTACAATTACACTGTAGATGTCAAGTTTAGATGTCACTGGTTTACCTACAATTATATTGTAGATGTCACTGGTTTACCTACAATTACACTGTAGATGTCAAGTTTAGATGTCACTGATTTACCTACAATTACACTGTAGATGTCAAGTTTAGATGTCACTGGTTTACCTACAATTACACTGTAGATGTCAAGTTTAGATGTCACTGGTTTACCTACAATTACACTGTAGATGTCAAGTTTAGATGTCACTGGTTTACCTACAATTACACTGTAGATGTCAAGTTTAGATGTCACTGGTTTACCTACAATTATACTGTAGATGTCACTGGTTTACCTACAATTACACTGTAGATGTCAAGTTTAGATGTCACTGGTTTACCTACAATTATATTGTAGATGTCAAGTTTAGATGTCACTGGTTTACCTACAATTATATTGTAGATGTCACTGGTTTACCTACAATTATATTGTAGATGTCACTGGTTTACCTACAATTACACTGTAGATGTCAAGTTTAGATGTCACTGGTTTACCTACAATTATACTGTAGATGTCACTGGTTTACCTACAATTATACTGTAGATGTCAAGTTTAGATGTCACTGGTTTACCTACAATTACACTGTAGATGTCAAGTTTAGATGTCACTGGTTTACCTACAATTATACTGTAGATGTCACTGGTTTACCTACAATTACACTGTAGAGGTGAAGTTTAGATGTCACTGGTTTTCCTACAGTTACACTGTAGATGTCAAGTTTAGATGTCACTGATTTACCTACAATTATACTGTAGATGTCACTGGTTTACCTACAATTATACTGTAGATGTCACTGGTTTACCTACAATTACACTGTAGAGGTGAAGTTTAGATGTCACTGGTTTACCTACAATTACACTGTAGATGTCAAGTTTAGATGTCACTGGTTTACCTACAATTACACTGTAGATGTCAAGTTTAGATGTCACTGGTTTACCTACAATTACACTGTAGATGTCAAGTTTAGATGTCACTGGTTTACCTACAATTATATTGTAGATGTCACTGGTTTACCTACAATTACACTGTAGATGTCAAGTTTAGATGTCACTGGTTTACCTACAATTATATTGTAGATGTCACTGGTTTACCTACAATTACACTGTAGATGTCAAGTTTAGATGTCACTGATTTACCTACAATTTTACTGTAGATGTCAAGTTTAGATGTCACTGGTTTACCTACAATTACACTGTAGATGTCAAGTTTAGATGTCACTGGTTTACCTACAATTATATTGTAGATGTCACTGGTTTACCTACAATTACACTGTAGATGTCAAGTTTAGATGTCACTGGTTTACCTACAATTTTACTGTAGATGTCAAGTTTAGATGTCACTGGTTTACCTACAATTACACTGTAGATGTCAAGTTTAGATGTCACTGATTTACCTACAATTATACTGTAGATGTCAAGTTTAGATGTCACTGGTTTACCTACAATTACACTGTAGATGTCAAGTTTAGATGTCACTGATTTACCTACAATTACACTGTAGATGTCAAGTTTAGATGTCACTGGTTTACCTACAATTACACTGTAGATGTCAAGTTTAGATGTCACTGGTTTACCTACAATTACACTGTAGATGTCAAGTTTAGATGTCACTGGTTTACCTACAATTATACTGTAGATGTCACTGGTTTACCTACAATTACACTGTAGATGTCAAGTTTAGATGTCACTGGTTTACCTACAATTTTACTGTAGATGTCAAGTTTAGATGTCACTGATTTACCTACAATTACACTGTACTTTAGATAATATTGGTTTACCTATGATAATCCTGTAGAGGAGGAGTTTTGAAGTTACTGGTTTACTCACGATAAAGCTTAGAGAAAGATTTTGATGTCTATCGTTTACCCACGATTACACTGTAGACAATGAGTTTTGATGTTACTGGCTTCCATACAATTACCCTGTAGAACAAGAGTAGAGGAAGAGTTTCGATAAATGTTACTGATTTAACCACGATAACATTGTAGAGAATTATTTTATAGGCTAAACATAACACAGTTATATGGTTTCAGCCTAATGCCACAGCTTTTGGAACTAGCTGTTACTAACAATCCTACCTTTTCGACTAGTGGAAATATTCCATCAGTGACACCTAGCGACAGTTATATGCTATACAAAATGCAGCTATCTTTCTAAACCATGCATATTCTTGCTAGGAGACAATCGAGTATTGTACTGAAAACTTATCAAAATTGACAGACTAATGTAGGTGTTCATAAAAATATTCTAATTGAGATTTGTCTAAACTACAAACTAGCTTTGCTGTGGTTTGCAGAGGACTCTTTGAGGTGGGACTATATTGTGGAATGCACATCCTTGTAAAGTGTTTCAATGTTAATAATTTTAAGATTTGTTGGATTTTGCGGATTTAATGGAAAATGTATTTCAAATTTCAAATTTAGCTGTTGATAGTGATCTTCTATAAAAGAGTTTTATTGTTTTGCATGTGAGGGATTATATCTCACATTTCAATTTACAAATATATATTCAGTACTTTGAAGTTGTTACTGATTTACCAAAAGTTACCCTGTAGAAAACAAGTTTTGATGTACTAATGAACACATTTGTGTTATTAATTCATGAAACAATATTTATAAATAATTACATTTCATGTAAGTTGTTAGGCCACCTGATCATTCTCATCAAAGCCAATTCGTTCTGTCCTATCATAATCAAGCTCATAGCTTATTGTAAACATCATGAATTTTTTATGATATATTGGTGCCGATGATGTCGGGAGGTATAGATATTGGCCACGACTGTATTACTGGTGAGGTTTTTTTGTTTCATGTTTATGGTTTTAATGCTATTGTCTTCTGTAGTAGTGACAAAGCTGATAACTTTTCATATCTGTTTGGTTTTATATTAAGTGCCGGGGAAATTAATTTAAAAGCAATGAAGTTGTATCCTTTGAAAGTTTAATAGTTTATCTGTGCTGATGGTGTCTTTGATATGTCACTGATAACTGTGAAAATGCCTCTGGGGAAATTTTGTAGTGAGACTCCGAAATCAACAAGATTGTAATGCCTATCATAAATCTGTATATATCATCAGATGATTTGGTGTGAGAAAGAAATACATTAATAATGATATGAGGCTAGAAAACTTTCTCACACCAATAGGCTGGGGGTTTAGATCAGGGATTGGAGAGAAAGAAACAAGGGCACTCTGCATAATCAGTTATATATACCACAAAGGGACGGATGACCTTTTTATGTGGATCATCAATATGATCAGTTATATATAACTGATGAGGAGGTGACCTCTTTATTTGAACCATCAGTACATCAACAAACAGAGGACTAAATGTTATGTGTACATTTACTGTGTGAGGACTAAATGTTATGTGTACATTTACTGTGTGAGGACTAAATTTTATGTGCAC